AGTTCAGGTTGCTAATTACCTTGCTGAGCGTTTTCACATTGACTAGATGTACAACTTTGTCAGAAGCTTTTCTGCATCAACTGGAATGATCCTATAATTTTCCTATTTTATTCTGTTGTTTATTTTTATTTGCTATCGTTGCCTGGGAGACTGAACCCAGGGCCTGTGCACTGAGCCATGTCCCCAACCCTTTCTATTTTTCTTATTTTGGAACGATATCTCTAAGTCACTAAGTCATACAAGCTGGATGCAAGCTTGTTCTCCTCCTGTCTCAGCCTCCAGAGAGCTAGGATTACAGGCTTGCGGCACTGCGACCAGCATTTTGTTCTCTTAATACAGAAAATTACAGTCTGTTGATCTTTCAAACATGACACCAATCTTCCAATTTGGGAATAACAATGAACATAACCCCCGGTTACTGTTAGGATGTGGGATGTGTGTGTGTGCACGTGCATGTGTGTGTATTTTGGATTTGGGGAGATTTTTAAGCTATGGACCGAGCCCCAGGTCCTGCACATTGTAAGCATGGGCTTGCCCCTGGACTGTCCCCAACTCTGGCCCCGTGTAGCAGTCACACCACCTCTCCTGTGAGAGTGGAGAGAGGCCCCATGCCTGGGTCCTCCTTCCTCCGATGTTTCCTTTTTTTTTTTTTTTTTTTGTCTTTTTCCTTTTTATCGGTACTGGGGATCGAACTCATGACTGCCTGCTTGCAAGGCAGGCGCTTATGCCGCTGAGCTAAATCCCCAGCCCCCTCTCTGATGTTTTCTTAGCTACAGAGTTAACTTCCTCAATTACGGGAAAGAAGGTTTTCTCCTTTTGTTTCCATAAGTCGAATTTTCCAAAAGATTTGTTCATTTTCATCTAAATCTCCAATGTCCGCAGTAATGTTTTCCATACTACCCTTCGTCATTTTTACTGCTTCAGAGAAGGTGATTTGTGTTCTCTCGTCCCTCTCCTTAGGCCACGAGAGACTGAACCCCCAGCCCACATATGCCCGGTACCCACACTGCCACCGAGCAACAGCCCTGTTCTTCCCTCTCCTTTTGTTTGAGGCAGCGAAGGAAGAGACGCAGGGATGGCAGGTGGGCTGGACAGTAGGGTGGCCTGTCAGTCACACAAGCCTGCCCAGTCCCAGCAGGGAACAGCTTTTCACAGCCCAGATCTGACCTCAGAGGAGGACACAGCTCAGGGCCAGTGCCTGCCTGGCAAGGACGAGATCCTGAGTTCAATTCCCGGTGCCCACAGAAGAAGAAGGGGAAGGAGGAGGAGAAGGCGGGGTGGAGACGGATGATACAGCTCACAGCTGGCTCACCAGCTCACACTGGTCACCAGTGTCCTCTTCTCCCAGGTTTCCCCACTACATTCAAGGCACATCGTCTCTCTTCCTCTAGCTTCTCTTCTTTCTTCATCTTCTATTTTTTCCTTCTTTTTTATCTTCAGTGAGTGAAACTTTAGTATTCATGAAGTGTCTCCATCCAATTCTTTGAACAGGATGAGAGCCTAGAGTTGCTGGCCCCCCACTGTCTGACAATAGGGTCTTGCTATGCAGCCCAGACTGGCCTTGAACTCCTGGCGATTCTCCTGCTTCAGCCTCCCCAGTGCTGGGATTAGAGGCATGTGCCACCATGCTCAGCTCTTCCTGTTTTCTTGATGAGTTGCATGGTCAGTTTAGATGTTGCATTAGTCTTTTCTAAAAACAAAAAACTTTCAGATGTGGTGCCACGCATCTGTGATCCCAGCACTTGGGGGGGCTGAGGCAGGAGGGTCTTATGAGTTCAAGGGCAGCCTGGCTGCACAGTGAGAACCTGTACCAAAAAATACATATATAAACAAAAGGAAAACTTCCCGGCTTTTTGTTGATCCCTCTCTACTTGTCCCTGCATTTGTTTTTAATTCTATTATTACTTTTTATTAATTTCTTTTGTGTAGATTTTGCCATTGTTTCTCTTGTTACAGATGCTTGGTTCATGCATTTTCAGACTCCTAATACACTGATTTTAAGACTTTGAATTTTCATTTCCTGAATAGTTTTTTAAGCCATTTATTCAGATCTTTGGTTTGTTTGTTTGTTTTTGTTATTGTTATTCTTTGTTTTGTGTTGTCTTTTTGAGGCAGGGTCTCACTATGCAGTTCAGGCTGGCCTTGAGCTCACTTTGTAGCCCAGGCTGGCCTCAAACTCCCAGAAATTCTCCAGCCTCAGCCTCCTGAGTGCTAGGATAACAGGCCTGCACCACCACGCCCAGCCCCATTTATTCAGCATCTTGATCAAACTATCACATTTAACAATCAACAACACAGCTTCAAACATAAAAGCTACATAAAAACCTTTGGCTGAAACCCAGCTCTTTATGCAGAACAGGAACAAATATAACCTATTGGGAACTAGTCCTTGAGGCTTTCACCCTGTGCACACCCTCTCCTCGGGAGCCAGGTCTGACGGAATCACAGACCTCTGGCAACCTGCACCTCCCCGTGCCCTCTCCAAGGCCCTGTCTGCTCGTGGTGTTTCCTGGCAGTCACTAAGGCCTCTGCCACCGCCACAGCCACTGGCCGCAGTCCTCTTGCGCCTGTGGCTTGGCACTGCTCTGTCCTCCTCCAGCCAAGGTCCCGCTGCTGCCTCCAGAATGATGCAGAGTGGTCTCTGGTCTTCCCCAGTGCCCAGTGCCCACCATCTCCGGAGTAGCTTCCGCCACTGCTAAGTCTATGGTCGCCATCTTTGCTGCCACTGTATTCACCACTGCAGCTGCCACCAAAGCCAGCGCCACCACAGAGGTCCCTCCATGATTGAAGCTGTTAATGCCAGCCAGGTGTGGTGGCACACATCTTTAATCCGAGCATTCAAGAGACTGAGGCAGGAGGGTCTCTGGGAGTTTGAGGCTAGCCTGGGCTACAAAATAAGCTCAAGGCCATCCTGGATTATAGAGCGAGACCTTGTCTCAAAAAGTCGGGGGGAAAAAACCTGTCATTGCCACTTCCAGAGCACCCCTTGCAGTCACTGGAACCACCCCCAGCTCTGGTTCCGACAGGGCTCACTTCACAGAGGCAGTGCCCACATTCTCCGCGGGGTACCCCAAAGCCTGACGTTTGGCTGCTTGACTGCCTTGCAGTCCGTGGCTCTGTGGATTCTCATCAGTTGTGGTAGCTCGGCCTTTTCACCCAGTCTCCTCAGCTGTCCGTGCTTGCCAAGATCCTGATTTAGAGGTCATGCCAGTGGGCACAGGGACTTTACCATACTTCCTTGGTGGTCTTCAAGGCAGAGAGGGTGAGCTAATGAATGGGTTGCCTCAGGATTTTTTTTTTTTTTTTTGAGACAGATCTAGCTATGTAGTTCAGGCTGGTGTTGAACTCACTATGCAGCCCAGGCTGGCCTTCAGTTTTCAGGGATCCTCCTGCATCAGCCTCCCAAACTCAGCTTAATTTACATCCCATACAATTCACCCACTTAAAATGGCTTTAGTATACTCACGGATTTTACAGAAGTCACCACAATTTTAGAACATTTTCATCACCATAAAAAAGAAAATGCCAAACTAGGCATGGGGTGCACACCTGTAATTCCAGCACTTGAGAGGCTGAGGCAGGAAGATCACTGGGAGTTAGAGCCCAACCTGGGCTATGGAGTAAGTTCAAATGCAGCCTGAACTTCATGGAAAGACTGTCCCCAAAAATCCACATCCATTCCCCTTTTCCAACTTTCCCCCACACCTGACAACCAATAGTTCACTTTCTATCTCTGTGGATTTGTCTTTTCTGGAAAATTCATAGAAAATGGAATCCTGAGATGTATGGTAATTCTGCGACTCTCACCAGATGTTTTCAGGTTCACTGATGTATCAGTACTGCACTCCTTTTTGCTACCATGTAGTATTCCATTATGAGGTGCACCCACTTCTGTAATCCATTCGTCAGTTGATGAACTTTTTCCTTGGTACTAGGAATTGAACTCGTGACCTCACACTTGCCAAGCAGGTAACAGGCTGCTGAGCTATTTCCCAGGCCCTGTTGAATGTTTGAATCTTTCCCGCTCTTTGACTTGCATGAACATTGCCGCTGGAAACGTTTCTGTCATGTTGCGGGTTCCCTTGGGTGCGCACCTAGAAGGCGGTTGTGGGTCCAGGTGCTGACTTGTGGTATAACCGTTTGAGCACCTTGTTGGGCCATTTTCCAAAAGGGTGGCACCATTTCCTCCCCGGCAGCAGCACCTGAGACTTCCGATGTCACACACCAAGTGACACCCATTACCCTCTTTCTGATCAAGCCGCCCTGGTGCTGTCTTGTTTGGGGCACCAGGGGTTGGAGTCGGGGCCTCACATGGCAGGCGGGTGCCCTGCCACTCCGCTGCCCCCTGCCCTTCTCCATCGGTTTCCACAGCCAGTACCTTGGTACTGAGTTTCCCCTCTGACTCTGCTTTATTCAGAATACGCTTCCCTCTTTGCAAATTTAAGAATCGTCCAGTTTTGTGGCTGTGTAAAGCTCAGCTCCGCGCTGCTGTGTTATGGTCCAGATGGCTCAGAGTCGGGGCTCTCGGAAGGTGGTCGGATCCGGGGTGCTGGACTCCTTGGTGGTTCCTAGCCGAGCGAGGTGTTGGAAGCAGATGCCTGGTCAGAGGAGCCATCTCAGGTTATGGCCTTGGCCTGGTATCTGCCACCCTGGGCCACCAGACCAGCAGCTTTCCTCCTGCCTTGCCAAGCCCATCCCTGTGCTGTTTGTTGACTGAAATTTCTGAAAACAAGAGCCAAAATAAACATTTCCTCTTATATTTTGCCCCAGCAGTGAAAAGTGGCTAAAATTAAAGAACATTCTCCAGCCAGGTGTGGCAGTGCACCTCTGTAATCCCAACTCTTGGGAGGCTGAAGCAGGAAGATTGTACAAATTAGAGGCCATCCTGGGCTAATAGTGAGGCCCTATGGGAGTGTTTACATTCATGGATCTCTGAATCCCTCCCCACCCAAAAAAAGAAAAGTAAAAAAGAAAGGACATTCTCTTATTTCAGCCACTGAAATTTTTCTAGTGTTTGCTTTATTGAGCCTATGTGCTCGTATTTTTGCCAACATTCTTCCATGTTTTTTTTTCTGTTAGTACCTTCTTTTTTTTAAATTTTAAAGAGAAAAAAAGCAAAACAGAAAAAGGGTAGAAATAATACAGAATTTCAAAAAAAATAAACTTTAAGAAATCACTAGTTGATAAATTACATACTGTCCTCTTAGAAATAGTTGTTCAATTTACAAAAGTAAAGCATACAAAGTGGACATTCAGACAGTGAGACTGCAAACAGTTCTGCTCAACGATCCAACAAAAACTTAATCATATAGTTATCAATCCTACACACTTAAACATACATGCAGTTATATCCTTTAGAGCACTTTCTTTTCCTCTCTTTTTTTATAATAGCAATAACACATTTTGGGTTTTAATACTCCTACAGCTCTTATTACTTTTTACACTAGAGACACAAAGTGATATTTATAAACATGATTTTTATTTATTTCACTTATGAACATTCTTCCATGTTTTGAAAAGAGTATCTGTAGTTTGAACTTCAGAGATCCATGTATATCAGTTAGGTCATTAGCTAATCTTACCTGTATCTTTCATAATTTTTTGGCTTGATTTTTCTATTGATTTTGAAAGATAGGGATTAAAAATCTTCCTGTGGTATATAAAATTTTGGCTTAATAAGGCTGTTTAATTAAAAGCATCCCCATGGTGATGGTGGATATGTCAGTTTTCTCTTATAATTCTATGCATTTTTGTTTCACAAAATACAAGGCCACACTGGGCAAGGTGGTACCTTAGAATTCCACTTAGAATTCCAGCTACTGGAGAGCAGAGGCCTAAAGCAGGAGGATCACAAGTTAAAGGCCAACCTGGGCAATTTAGTGAGACCTTGTCTCAAAAATAAATAAGGAAGCTGGGTGTCAACTGTCATCCCAGCGCTCAGGAGGCTGAGACAGGAGAATTACTGCAAGTTTGAGAGCAGCCTGGGCAACAAAGTAAGCTTAAGGCCAGCCTAAACTGCATAGTGAGACCCTGTCTCAAAAAAAAAGACAAAAAATTTAAAAATAAGTAAGTACATAAAAGTCTCAGCTGCTTGGTAAGCATGAGGTCAAATTCAATTCCTGGTATCAAATATAATAAAATAAATAAAAATATCAGGATGTAGCTCAATGTTAACAGCAGCCCTGGTTTAATCCCCCGTTTTGCCAAAACAAACAAACGAACAAGAAAAGGTCGCGTTATAGAATACTTCCAAGGGCTGGGGATTTAGCTCAGCGGCATAAGTGCCTGCCTTGCAAGCATGTGGCTGTGAGTTTGATCCCTGGTACCGGTAAAAAAAAAAAGAGAGAGAGAATGCTTGCAAATTTACTGTATTTCATGGTGAATTGTGCATTGCTAATATCACAGAGAACCATCTATCTCTGTGGTAATGTCTGTGTCCTGGCTGTCTGAGGTTACTACAGTTACTCTGGTTTTCTGCTAGTTAGTGTTTACAGTGTATATTCTCCTGTTCTTTTATTTTCATACTTCCTGAATCCTTTTGGTGTAGACATTTAACTTGTAAACAACATATGGGTGATTTTATCACTCTGGAAATATTTTTATTTTCTACCTGGGTCGGGGACAGGCTGAGTTGAGAGCAACTGAGGTAAAAAAGCACCTGAGTGCTCTGTGTCTGGCTTCTCTCTGGGGCCGGGGTCTGAGCATCTCTGGGGGTGGGAGGCGGCAACAGTGCAGTGCAGCAGACTCTGTGATTTTCTCCTGTCTTGTTTTTGGTTTTCTTTGTCTTTTTCATTTTTATCGGTACCAGGGATCGAACTCACGACCGCACACTTGCAAGGCAGGTGCTTATGCCACTGAGCTAAATCCCCAGCCCTCCTGTCTGGTTTTTGAAATCCAATGTTGTTCTCAGTGTTTTGTTTTGTTTCCGTTGTTTTGCTTCATTCAGTGTTCTGTTTTGGTTTTATTCTGTTTGGTTTCGTTTGACAGACAATTGTTCCATCATAACGGGTTACACTATGGTGGCCATTGTTGTTCTCCTACTCTGCTTTGAAATTCTGCACCAGTTTTGCTGCTTTGTTTTGATTGGCTTTATTCTGTTTTATTTTTGTTGGGTTTTATTATTATTATCTTTAAAAAATTTTTTAAAAAAGTATAAACCCACCAAAAACTAATCTGTGTGTCAGTTTGGAGTGTTTGGGGTTTTTGTCATTATTGTTGTTGGTTGGTTGGCTTGGGTTGGTTTGGTTTTCTGAGACAAGGCTTCACTGTGTAGGCCAGGCTGGCCTTGAGCTTGTCGCAGCCCTCTTGCCTCAGTCTCCCAAGTACTGGAATTACAAGCGTGGACCACTACACCCAGCCCACATATGGCTATTGAACATTTGAAATATGGCCAGTGCAACTGAGGAACTGAAGTGTCTGTTTGTTCATTTGTGTTTGTTTTGGTTTGGTTTTTTGAGATAGGTTCTCACTGCGTAGTTCAGGCTTTCCCTGAACTGTGTAGCCCAGACTGGCTTTGAACTCACAGCAATCCTTCTGCCTCAGCCTCCCGAGGGCTGGGATTACAGCTGTGAACCACCATACCCGGCTTGAAGTATTAAATATATATATATATATATATATATATATATATATTTTTTTTTTTTTTTTTTGTCTTTTTCATTTTTATCGATACCGGGGATCGAACTCACGACCACCTGCTTGCAAGGCAGGTGCTTATGCCGCTGAGCTAAATCCCCAGCCCCGTGTTAAATATATTGAATGTAAACACCCCCATAGGGCTCACGGCTCCCACACTGGACAGCATGTTGTCTAAGTTAAAATGTCATCTTTGCTGGTTGGTATCTACTCCTACTGCTGTCTTCCTCGCAGATGACACAGAATTCTTAACACTAACTCCTTCGTGCCTCTCCGAGACCTGGGACAGTTAGTATCTTATGATTCTCTCTGTATATTTTAAGTTCTTGAAGATATAGTTGTTATCATTGTGCCACCTCCCTCTCACTCCGTCCATTCTGTCACTGGGCGGTCTCCCGGTATGCTGTGAGTACCGGGCTCTTCCTCCAAGCCTCTGTCTGGAGTGTTGTCTCCTCATGGAACAACAGTACAGGTGGCTCCTTCTCAGTGTCCAGATCATGCTCGGATAAGTCCTCTTCTTCATAACAGGGCCACACAGTGCTCTGTTCCAGGAGCCCCATTTTTGCCTCCACAGAGAGCCCCCGTGTTCCAGAGTGGGCCCCACTGGTGGGCAGCCACGTGGACCCTGTCACCTCGCCAGTGACTGGTGCTGGCCCTGAGCCTGTGGTGCTCTGGGAGGCTGGGTGTGAGCGGAAGTTTGCAGGGGGAATTCTGGGAACTTTCCTGGTCCCTGGGAAGAGATGGGGACATGAGGCAGGAGGCTTGTCACACACAGACGCCCTGAAAAGCAAAGCGCTGTCACCTGCCTGAGGACAAGGCTGAAGGTTTCAGGACAAAGGGATGGAAGACGCCTGTCCTGGGAAGTGGACCTGGAGCCCCTGGGTCCTAGAGCTTTCCTGTCCTTATGCCTGCCCTGCGGTACACAGCTTTCCCATCCCCACCTTCCAGCAGAGGAGGCCCAGACGGAAGAGAAGACGCTCCTGGAGGTTCCATTGCTTGGTGGAGCTGGGGTCAGAGTCAACACCTTTCTGCTTCTTCCTGCCTGGCTTCTGTCTGATGCTTCCGTTTGGAAGCCCACATCCTGGCTGTCTTGTCCCGGATGTGGCCAGCTGCAGGGCACTCCACGGGGGGCAGTCTGCACTAGGAATGAATGAATGAATGGGTGGCTGAAGATGACTGAGAACCCGACTGTTTCCTGTTGGTGGCTGTGGCACTCATCCTTGAGGAGAGCGGAGCCTCCCTCAGGCTGTGCGGAGAGGGCCTTCGGGAGCGCCCCTTTCTGGATCCCTGTGGTCTCCTTCCCTGAGGTCCCCGGGGAGCTCTCCAGAGCATGGAACTGTTCTTGGGGCTGCCCGCCTCTTGCTAGGTGCTGGCACAGCTGGTTACCCTCTTTCTCCCCCTGTTTTCTCTCCTCCACCTCCCCTCCTTCTTCCCTGCACAAGGAAGGAAAGGAGTTGGCCCCTCTTCCTTCTTGGCAACCTGGGTACTCATTTGGAGCCCCGAGGCTGGGCCCAGTGGGCGGCCGAGTGGCTGTGGTTCCTCACACAGCCTGCCGTGGCTGTCCACACGGCTGCCTTTGAGGAGAGGCCAGGCCTCAAGGAGAACCGCTCATCGCTCTAATTGGCCTCTCCCGGGAGGCGGAGGCTCTGGCTCACACTCGTCGTTACCCTGGTGGCCACTTTGCCCCGTCCAGGGGCACAGCATGCTTCCTGGGAGCTGGCTCTGTGGCCAACAAAGCAGGAGTCCGCCCCTGTTCTACAGATGGGGACGTGGGAACCGCGGGGCAGTCTGGGTCCCTACCCAGGGCTACAAGGAGGCTGGGCTGCGTCACTAGAACAAACCACCAGCAAGGCCTGTGCCAAAGCTCTCCTCTCCGCTCTGCTGGCAACCAGAAGGAGTTACCATGGGAAAGGGACTTCCCCTTTCCCAAATGCCAGGCACAGGACTCTGGCTGCTCACGGAGATATCCCTGTGAGAAGTGTCACACACCTGGACATCCTGCCCAGATGGCACAAGGCAAGCATGGGAGTCAGGGTGCTTTGCCCAGCAGGCCACCTGGTCATGAGGTCCCGCTGTGACCTCAGTTTACTCTTGCTGGAAAGTGGGAAGAGGCCAGGCAGTTGTTCCCCGGAGGGGCTCACACATACCTTTCATCGCCAGCCTTGGAGACATCTCAGGGCAGGAACAGGCTGGATTCCTGGTTGGTCCTAGTCCTCCATCTGTGGCTGCCATCACTTCTCTGGACCCCTAAAGATCACGAACTTGGTGCATATTATGGTCTTTCTCCCCCTCCCCCCCTTTTTTTTCCTCCACCCCTTTTTTGAGAAAGGGTCTTGCTATGTGGTTCAGGCTGGTCTTGAACTCACTATGTAGCCCAGACTGGCCTCAGCTCATGATCCTCCTGCCTCACCTCCTAAGTGCTGGGATTATAGTTGTGGGCTACCACACCCAACACAAAGGATTTTAACAGATTAGAAACAGGACACCCAAAAGCTGGCCTTACACCACGTTAGACCATCACCATAACCATACAGTAATTTATACTAGGACAAGAACCTTTCATTCCCATCTTTTTATTGTTAGGAAAAGGGCAAAATGTTCTCTTACTGATTCCTGCTGAGAGGGGGCATCATATTGGGGTTCAGGAAGGTTGACGGGATGATGGTTGATGCCCACGCAGAAGCTGGTGCCAGGTGTTTCAGCCAGGACAACTGGTGAACACTTGCATCCTAGATTGGAGAAACAAAGAGACAAGGTGCTATGAGGAGGCAGGTCACTATCATACTTAAGGACCCAGGAGAGGCAGAAGGAAAGGTGCCCTTGATCCAAATGTATCATTCCATCAGGGCCACGGTAAGGAAGAATCTGAAAAACAAGCATGGAGTTAAGAGGGGTGGAGTTACAAGAGGTAATTATTTCTCCATCTGAAAGGATAAAAAATAAAAGTATAGGTAGGACTTGTCCTTGGTCCAGGAGTTGAGCTGGAAATAAGAAGCATGAGAAATATAAGGCCTGATGACTGAATCATGTTTGGGAGATTATAGAATAGGGGTGGGAGGGCCTTGGCTATGTCACTATAAGGGAGCTAAGAGCCTAAACCCAGAGGGATCTCTTGTTTAACTAAACAGCTGTGGGCGGAGAGAACTAAGATAGTTATAGTGAAAATTTTAACTAATAGAATGTAAGGGATCAGGAACCAAATAGGATAACAAAACATGATCTAGCCTGAAAATTGTGGCTGTGGGGCCCTGGTGAGATGGAGATGGGAGACAGGAGATAAGATGACCACTCAGGTGGAGATGTTTAGAGTCAGGGGAGTTAGGGTTAGGAGGGCACCGCTTAGCTTGAGTGATGTGGAACCAGGATGGCAGTCCAGCAACCCTGATCACCATTGAAGTTCCGAGGAAGACCAGGTAAGGGGCTGCTCCATTTTAGTTGTAGTCCTAGTGAGAGATCTGAGGAATAAAGGCTGGACCATTATCTGCCTGAATACTCTGAGGTAGACCAAACCTTGGGATGATTTCCTGTAACAGAAGTTTAGTAACTACATCAGCAGTCTGCCTGGTTGTGGAAAAAGCTTTTATCTATACTGAGAAAGTACAAACAAAGGTGAGAAGATATTTGAGACTTTTGTGGACGGGCATGTGTGTAAAACCTACCTGCCAGTCCTGGCCAGGGGTGTGTCCAGGAAATTGATGAGTAGGAAAGGAAGGGGTGCTATGTGTCTCTGAGAAGAGGTTCTACTATAGAGATGACAGGTGTAAGCTGTTGAGACCTGAGAATGTCTGGGTCAGTCTACATAAACACAAAGGAATCCTAACAGTCAGGATGTAGGGGGGATCGTAAAAAAGGCATCTTTAAGATCTATGACTGTAAAGTGAGTGGTGGAGGGAGGGATATGAGAGAACATAGTATAAGGGTTTGGCACCATTGGGTGAATCAGGGTAACAGCATCACTGATTACCCTAAGGTCTTGCATTAGATTATAGGACCCATCAGGCTTGAGTACCAGGAGAATGGGAGTATGATAGGGTGAATGGGTAGGTTTAAGAAAACCATTGTCGGAAGGCTGGGGATTTAGCTCAGCTGTGTAAATGCCTGCCTGGCAAGCGTGAGGTTGTAAGTTCAATCCCTGGTCCCAAAAAATAAAAAAGAAATCCATTGTCTAAAAAACACTTGATTATAGATTTAAGTCCCCGTAAATGTTTGGGAGCTAAAGGATATTGGGAAACACAAGGAAAAATTGAAGGATCCTTGAGATGAATTAAAATAGGCGTGGCATGGATAGCACAGGTGGGGTTGGAGGTATCAAACTATGGAATTGACAAAGGAAGAAGGGAGGGGACAGGATGGCTCTGGAACCTGCATGGAATGGGCCCTGTCTGCAGGGGCTGTGTAGGTTGGCTGTCGATATCTACTACAGAGACTGAGGACTTAATAGAGTGGCCTGAAAACTCAGGAAGAACACTGAATATGGCCTTGTGTCTACAAGTACAGAGAATGTCTTACCTGAGACCTCCAGTGAAACTTGGGGCTCTGAGGACACCTTAATGGGGGCTATGGACCCTGAGCCCCATCAGTCTTCAGCAGCAGGTCCAAGTAGATCAGCCAGTGATGAATGCAGTGGTGATGAGATCCCCTAGGAGGGCAAGGAGTTAGAGGATGGTTTACCCGCTCTCTGGAGACTAGGACAGTTGCTCTTCCAATGGCCCTTGATATTGCAGAGGAGGCACTCTCTTGTCCAGTGTCCTTTTTGTTGCTCTTGGAGTATGGTCCAGGAGGGATTGGGCAGTTCTACCTTGTCTCAGTTTACCTGTCTCAGAGCTCCAAATGTGACTGCTAAAAGATCAGGTTGTTGTTTTTCCTTTGGATTTTTATCTCTGTTGTTGAAAACATAAAAAAAATATTTAAGCCTTTTGTCATGGGATCTGGCCCACAGCAGGAAGTATCTGTCTCCTCCACAGTCACAAGACATCTGGTCCTTTGTGCTGGCTACTTTGAGGCCCTTGCCCTGTCTGACTGCCTATCATATTTTTAACTGACTTAGATGCCTGTAACATTTTTCCTCTGAAGAAGTAACCCAAACTGCCATGAGGGATAATGGGCAGAGACCGATCTGACTTCTTCAGGCTGAAGGAGGTTGAAGTTGTTGAATGGCAGTCAGGGATACTCTGCAGAGCTTTTAACTAGCGGCCCTCAGTAGACAGCAGGCATTTTCATCTTGGGTAGGTGCACAGCTTTAAGTCCAAAGGAGACAAAGGCAAAAATCAATTAAGTTTGCAGGAGTCAAATAATAGAATCAAGAGGGTATTTATAATTTTAGTAATGGTTTCCCATAAGGAGGATAAGGATAAGGTCCAGGGAATTTTAGAAACTGACATGTCATTCATTTTTCACACACACATTTCGGTTTTACAGTTATATAAGTACCTCCTGTGCTGTTAGAATGTGTACTGTCATTTGATTTTGGAGGATGGCCTGTTTTATTAATTTTACCTTTTTTTATTTAGGAGAGAGATCAGCTGTGGTGTCATTTAAGGCCATTTGAGTATAGTTAATTATGGCCCCAAAATGCATCATATAACCTTTTTCTGGAAAAGATCTGGTGGATCTCAGTAAAAGGAATGTAATAGGAATTTATAATTATCTCTTACTTTTAGTTGTTGAACATCCAGAAGAAAAGATGGATAATAGTACAGTGTAGTAAATTTAGTAAGCTTAACACAGTACATTAAATGGAACTACTATTTTCTATTAACCATGGGTGTTTTAACATTTGAACACTGAAAGAATTTGTGACATTGTTTGTACTGCTCAATATTTAAGCATGTCTAAGTATAACATATACATTACATAAATTTTTGTTTAAAAATTATTATTTGACTGATGACCTCATGTTGGTTTGACTTGGATTTCCTGGCTGGAGCACAAGAAAAAGGCAGGCGTCTGGATCTGAAAGAAAACACTTGTCATCATAAACAATCCCAATTTTATATTTGAAGGCGTGACTATACCACAGATCAGCAACAATGAATTGTCTTAGTCATATGAACTTTAGTTGAGGTGTCTCCCATAGGCTACGGAGATTATTGGGGCCTCCAATTAATGAATAAGAGCTGGTTAAAGTTACCAGGGGGCCACTTTCTTGTTTATCAGGTGGAGTCCTGTCTAATGTCTCCTCACTCCAAGAGATTTTGTTTAACCAGTTTTAGCATCATTATGACCAGCTGGCAACCTAGGTAGAAGCATGTTTTTTAAATCTATAACCCAAATAAACTTGGATTAAATGATCTGAAAATGTAAAAGAAGAGAAAAAAAGATTGTTGAGCTCAAATAAAAAGGATCAGCTGTTTACAGAACAGACATATGGACAAACATGGACAGATGATCTGTACAGTATAAACAGACTGAAGAAACAGACAACAGATATGTAGACTGATAAACATCTTACAAAATCAGAGTGCACTCAAATATATTTGACCAATTTGAACTATGATAAGTAGACTAGTGTGAATATTTTTGTAAGTTAAGTAATAGAGATCTCTTGAAATAAGAATAGCAGAAAAGGAACCTAATTTATGGTTACTCTGAGATAGGTGAGTAAGGGAAAAAAAGAACATGAATATGATCTAGTCCCTGGGACCAGCCTGTTCCTGAAGCAAGAATAGGGACTGAGGCTGAGAAGGCTGTGGAATGGGAGGTGTAGATGGCCACCGAGCAGCCAACTGCCCAGCAAGCATCTGTGGGCAATTACTGGGTGACTGGCCACCGTGTAACAGGAAAGCACAAGACGGCAACTGACTACCATGAGACCCACAGCTAGAGGGCTGCTGCTGGTCCCATGATGAGGGACAGCAAGATGGTGGTGCACTCTCATGTGGCAGAGGGCCACAAGACGGTGGCTGTCCTCCATGGGAGCTGCAGCAAGATGGCTGCTGAGAACCATGTGGCCTGCTAGGTGACTGAAACACACAAGACCAAGTATGGTAAGCCAGCATGGAAAATGGTGACACAGGAGTAAGGGACAAAGAAGAGCTGTCTAATGAAATAGATTGCTCAAGTGGAAGGGATTGAGAAATCTGCAACTGGGGAGGGAAACTAAGGGAAGAGTTAAAGGCCACTGGGAGTGAGAAATGGGGAGAGGACAGTGCAGGGGGCACAGAAACCTCTGGCTGAGAAGGCTGTGGGATTTGGTCTTAGAGATACAGGGAAGGAGCTGTAAAGACAAGACCCGCCTCATCTGAGGGGTCTGGTGGGGAAGAGTGGAGAGTTTTTGGTATGGTAGAGTGAGCCAGATGGATTTGGGCCTTCACACAAGACAGAGTGAGAGGAGGACGCGTCCTCAAAGTGAAAAGGCCTAAAGATGAAGGGTTCTGCCAACTTGCCACCATTGTGACAAAAACATAAATTAAAGATCAGCTTTTTGGTTTTCACAGCCTTCTTGAGGCCAAGAGCACCAAAGCACCTCAAAGATGTGTTTTTCGAGGGACAGGAAGTGGTCCCCATAACCGAATTATAAATGAGCTGAGAGAACAACTTTACCTCAGGACTGTAGCTCTCCCTCAAGGAACGTGGAAGCTGTCCTGGATCACGCCTTAAAAAGAATTCATCACTGTTTTGAAAGTGTGACACGGAAAGTCCCAACACCCGTTCTCCTCAGCAGTCACCAAGAAGTACAGGACCGGGTCCCAGGGAACAAAAACATCAGTTTTGCCTCTGGCTGTGAGGCCTAAGGAGCATGAAAAGTGCTATTTCTGTCCAGGGATGGGCAGGGATGGGTTTTCTGATGCAAGCTTGTGAATTTTAGGAACGGAAACAGAAAACCCCAGACGGAAAGCAGCTTACCTGTGATGAGTGAGGAAGGTCCTGTTGCATGTGGATTAGTGGCAGCAAGTAAACAGCCCCCCGAGGAAAAAACAGGTGGTTCTTAGGCAGGGGAGCCCCAACTGGGAGGGGCCCCAGGAGCCACTCACTCTGCCATCCAAGTCACGGCACCATTGTGAAAGAATTTTCTGGTGCAATAGAGAAGTAAAAGTACAAAATGCACAGGTTTACTGAGTTGAGGACGTGGAAAGGAGCACCAACCCATGGGCTGTCTCCTTCCACCAGATAGAGAGGCAGAGGGTTGTATGACCTTTGATTGAAGTGGCACATGAGGCAGATATTGATGACATGTGAGGAACCAGTTGGAATTCTCTGTGCATGCAAACAGGCAGGGGAACTGCACTTAAGGCTGAGGAAGAAGCAGGAAGTGGTAGGCGGTCCTGCTTTGGCCTTCTACCACGTTACACCACCGCCATAACCGCACAGGAATTTATAGTAGGGCAAGAACCTTTCAGTCTCCACCAGGCAGAACTTCTGTTTTTATTAATCCTTTGGGGAATTAATAAAATTAATTTTGAAATTTGCAATTTAAAAGAATAGATTTTGGGGCTGGGGATTTAGCTCAGTGGCATAAGTGCCTGCTTTGCAAGCAGGCAGTCGTGAGTTCGATCCCTGGTACCGATAAAAAAGAAAAAGACAAAAAAAAAATTAAAAAGAAAAAAAGAATAGATTTTACGGGACCGGGGATATAGTTCTGTGGCTTAAGTGTCTGGCTAGCAAGTGCAAGGTTCTGAGTTGATTTCTGTACCCACTGTTTCCCACCCCCAAATAAAGGAAGAATGGATTCTAGTTCATCTTCTGGTCAGGTTTCTCTGAAGTCAGATTCCTCCTGTGTCTCCCATGGTTCTGGCCTGCAGGGGTCTTCATGTGGCCATCCTGGAGCTTGACCATTTTGTTTTGTTTTATTTTTTATTTTTATTTTTTTTTTTTTTGTTTGAGACGACGTCTTGATATGTACCCAGGCTGGCCTCAAACTCACAGCAATCTTCCTGCCTCAGCCTCCTGAGTGCTGGGATTACAAGTAGACTTAGCCCTTCCTGCTGTTATGTTGTCCCTCTGCTACTTGGATGGGGAGACCAGGCTGGGTGTCTCCAGGTCCCTGCCAGCCTCAGCCAGAGCTGGGCTCCCCCCAACCTTCCAAAGGATGCCTGATTCCAGAGGAACCCCTCAACTGCTCCCCTTGGCCCTCTAAGAGCCATCTGGGCTTCCCAGAGAGAGAGGCAGAAGTCAGGCCAGGTCCTTCTACAGCCCACTGGAGGCCCAGGCATGTAAGTGCTGGTCAGAGCCCGTGGTCTGGCCTCGTCATCACCGGAAGCCCTCGTAGCAGTGACATCCAGCTGCACAGTTGCTTGGCGGGGGCCACAGCCCTGTGATGAGATGCAGTTGGCACTGGAGTGTGGGACAGGGGACGGGCTGGCAGGAGACCAGAGCGGCCTTCTGCTGCAGGCTCCAGCCTTCCGCTGGTGCCACGTAAGAGGATTAGGGCTCAGGACGGCGGACAAGGGGCTTTTATTCTCGGGGCCGTGTTCTCATTAGGCTGCAAAACCCCAGAGAGGGGAATGAGAGGGAGAGAGGGACCTCCAGGCCCTCATCCTCCAAGCTCCGTGCTTTGGGGAGCACAGGAAGCCCTGAACCCCCTAGTGATGGTGGGGGGCATCCAGCCCCTCCCAGATCTGCCTGAAGCTGGAGTCCAGAGCCCGGGGACAACCATACCACACAGAGCTGTGTCAACACAATGGCTTACTGGGAAGTCAGAGTCCTCGGATGTCTGCATGGAAGGAGGTGAACAGAACACCTGCATGGGGAAACTGAGGCACAGAGAAGCTGCGATGTGACTGGTGCTACTGGTGCTACTGGTGCTGCTCCCAAGCTGGGGCTGGAACGAGAAACTCAGTCTCGTCCTCCACAAGGCCTGAGGTGATTAATTGCCACCAGATTTCCCTGGCGCTGGAACCTCCTGTAACAGGAACCGTAGTGTGTGCTTATAAGCTAAGACTCCTTCCGGCACAGTGGTGTTGCACGCCCAGTGTACTGGTAGTTTGTTCCTGGTCGTTGCTCAGAATATCCCAAAGTTTGTTCACCAAGTGATGGACATTTGTTTCCACTTTTGTTTGTTTGTTTTGAGACAGAGTTTCTCTATGTAGTCCAGGCTGGCCTTGAGCTCACAGCAGCCCTCCTGCCTCATCCTCCTGAGTGCTGGGATGACAGGCATGTGCCAACATCCTCGATTGCTTTTTTTTGTCCTTTTCAAAATCTGCAGCCAGGTGTGGTGGCACACGCCTTGCTGTGCATTTAGGGGCATCCTGGGCTACATATCAAGATCCTGTCTCAACAATCCAAAACCTAAAACAAACAAAAAACAAAACAGCTATGCAAAGGACACTGATGTGGAAAGGCCACACACTTCGTGATCCCAACCGTGTGACATTCTGAAATAACCCAGAAGTAGTAAAATGATCAGTGATTGCCAGAGATTGGGGCCAGGAGGGGTGAACTGGGTGAACTGTGGATTTTTAAGATGCTTCAGCTATTTTGTAAGACACAGGACGCGTGTCCTCACACGTGTCAAAACACACAGGATGCACAAGGGTGTAAGCCATGACTCTGAGGGGTGACACACATTGCTGTGGGTTCAGCCATGACAAACGTACACTGGAATGGGGCACTGAGAGTGGGGCAGGCAGGGAAGGCAGGGGGCAGGACACGATGGAGGGGGACACTCATGAGGGAGAGGTCACGGGCCTGTGAAGCGACCGGTACAGGAACAGGAGGGAGGAGGGGGCGCAGCAGCGTACAAAACTCTTGTGTCTTGTGGTTAAAGACAGGATGAAGCGAGACCGGAACTTCATCTGACCAGCAGGGCTCAGGATTGAGCCCTGGTGCTGGTGGGAGGTCTCAGGGAGGTTTATTTTCCTGTTTCTGGGAATTGAACCCAGAGCTTGGCACATGCCTGGCCATCTTTGCTATCCTGCCGGCCCTGCTCAGACTCTTCTGAACCAAGTTTTTCCTGATACTTCTCAGGCTCCACTTAACTGCTGCCTGAATACTGTTTTCAAGAATTCCCTGGGACATAAATTACTCAGCAGGTGGCTAAAAGGGATCTCTCTTACGATATTGTTTGAGATTTTTTTCTAACTTCAGGATGACTTTTTTTCTGTATCTTTCCCTGGTTCTTTTTAGTAAACTAATCCACCTACAATTTAGTGTCTTTAGACTCCTCCAGGTTTGCCTTTTACCACAACCTTCATAGCTTCTGAGAGAAAATGTAAGCGTTTACACACTGTTGTAAATGAAGTCACTTAATCATGTTTTTTTTTTTTTTAATCTTTCTGAGACAGGGTCTCACCATGCAGTTCAGGCTGGTCTTGAACTTGCAATGATCCTCCTGCCTCAGCCTCCCAAGTGCTGGCATTATAGGCGTGCGCCACCATGCCTGGTTTATCATGTTCTGTCTTTGTTTTGTTTCTTGAGATGTGATTTTAGTATGTAGCCCAGGCGGGCCTCAAACTTGGTGATTCTCCTGCCTCTGCCTCCAGAGTGCTGAGGTTCCAGACATGCATCACAGTGCCCAGGCTTCAATCGAAGTCATTTTCTTTGGAAGGAAATTGGGAATTCTGTGCCTTCCCCTCGGCCCAGGCCAAATCAAAGACAAAGGCCTGGATTTTGTGGAGTGATGGGCCTATGCCTGGACCGGGTCACTTAGTAGAATGGGTCTCCCTCCCATGTGAGCTGGAGCAGGGCCTTCCCCAGGATACCACTCCCAAGGCAGAGCTAGGGGTCCCCAAATGGGACTAGTGGGGACCAAGGGAGCTGCCATCTTAGCCACCCTCATGCAGAGCTTGGGCCACTGCCACATCCTGGTCTCCCAGTCAGGAGGCTCTGATGATGGGACCCTGTGTCCATGGCTGCTCCAGTCTGGAATGAAGTTGATCTCATTGGTGGACAGGAAGAAGACGAGGAAATTTTTATTTTTATTTTCATTAGTCTGTGTTTGCAGTACAATGATCACGTGTTATGGGGAACGCATGCATGGACCAAGCACACCCCGGTTCCTGCCCGGGCCCCTTCCCATCTGCATAAGATCTGTCTCTCCACTTCCTGTTGTTCTATTGTGTATTTCTGTTTATATTTTGGGTTTCTCATAAAAAAGAAAGCATGCAGCACTTAAGGTTGTTTGTTTATATTTTACTTAACATTATAGTCTCATCAGTTTTTGGTTTTTCTGGGTACCAGGAATAAAACTCACAACCTTGTGCTTACCAAGCAAGCGCTTAAACACTGAGCTAAATCCCCAGCCCTAACATTACACTCTCAAAGTGCAACTATTTTCCTCTGACTGAAGATCTCCTTATGGCAATGTGGTACTCCATTGTGTACAAACACTACATTTTCTCTATCAGTTCACTGTTGATGGACTTCTAGACCACTTCAGAGATTCAACTGCCATGAGCTACGGTGTTACAACAGTGGCTGTGTGTGGATCAGGTAATCCCTCGTCTTTAACTCTTCATGAAGACACCTGAAGGGGAATCGCTGGGTAATGTAGACTTTCTCATTTTAATGTTTGAGGAATAATCACCAGAGTGATTACAATCCCACCAAAAAGTTGTGTTTTAAATATCAGTGTTGTAACCTATCAAACTCTAAGAGCAGATGTTTGCCTAATCTAAACTTGCTTGTTAGCCCACCTGAAACTTGTACTTCCCAAGAAATGTAACCATTGTGTTCCTGTTCTGTAGTGTGCTGCAAACTCCACCCCCCTGCATTGTGAAGACCAGTAGCTGTTTACAGTTTTTTTTTTAAACTTTTTTTTTTTATTTTGAAAGTATACAACAGAACAAGTCAGAATAAAGCCAACTAAGATCGTACAGTGAAACTGGTACAGAACTTCGCAACAGGTTACTGGGATAACAGTAATAGGTATCACAGTATATTTTGTTATCTTGATAACAGTTGTTCTTTCAATCCTGTATATCAAAATGAGATGAAATATAGAACACTATAGAACTTATCAAAACAGAATATTGAATAGAGCAGTACCATTAATCAGAAAAGAGCAAAACAGTAATAAAAATATTTGCCTTCAAAGAAATGGTAGAAGGAAGTCCCCCTTATTTGTTATGGTCAACCTTCCAGGAGATGCTCAGATTTCTGGTTCCCACTTGCTAATGGGCAGAGGGGGGGAGGGGAGAAGGAGGATAGGGGAAGTGGGATATTTGACTCTAGGCCATGTAGCAGTAGGTTCACTATTGCTAAGCAGGGAGGCAGGATTGTCATTTGCTTTCACAGTGTCCTCAGTTCCAACATGTCGTGGATCTCAGGAGACACTGCTGGTT